AGCTACTGTGTGTAACAAACCAGAAAGGGGGCAGGTGGGGAGATGGGAGAGGAACAGCACTCAGAATGGGTGGTTACATAGGCTGCTGGGTGGGTGTGAGACAGCAGAAATGCACAGCCCTGCTCTGGCTGTTAGAAGTGTGTCCTGGGCCGTTAAGAGCAGAGCACGTGTTCGGGGGAACTGGATTGGAGCTAGCGAGAACGGGCCATTGAGTGGTGGCATCACCGGACACACAGCTGGGAGCGTGTGGCTCTCCATTAGCTTTTGTAACTCTGCTTTAGTTCTAATCACACCTCCTTCTGGGGGCACGTCTTCACTACCCGCCATATCGGCGGATAGCGATCGAGCTATCGGGGATCGATTTATCGTGTCTAGTGTAGAAGCGATAAAATCGATTCCCGATCGCTCTGCCGTCAACTCCGGAACTCCACCTTCTGTTTGCTGTTCAGCCAGGCTCTCCCCTTTGATCAGCACTTCAGTCGCTTGGTGGTGGTGTCTGTAGATGGAGGTGGAAGAGAGAGGAAGAGCAGGGCAAATGTCTCTCCCTTTTATCATGTTCTTTCTTCCCTCTTGGCTTTGCCCCCCCTTTCAGAGTCATGTGAGCATTACCTCATCGCAGTCCCAAACTGACCAAAGGAAGGAGGGTGACTCATTCGAGAGTCTAACAGATCCTTTGTTGCTGCCTAGGCCAGTGTCCTTTGTTCCTGTGAGGCTGGGCCGGGTTTGTCCCATACATGCCCTGATGAGGTGTGAACTGCCTCTCTGCTCCTGGAGAGTTTTTGACTGGGCTTCTTTTAAGACATAGAATCATACAATATCAAGGTTGGAAGGGACCTCAGGAGGTCATCTAGTCCAATCCCCTGCTCAAAGCAGGACCAATACCAACTAAATCATCCCAGCCAGGGCTTTGTGAAGCTGGGCCTGTGACAGTGCACCCTAGAAGGCTTTTGTCAGGGTTCCTTCCCTACTCTGAACTCTGGGGTACAGATGTGGGGACCTGCATGAAAGACCTCCTAAGCTTATTTTTACTAGCTTAGGTTAAAAACTTTCCCAAGGCACAAATTCCACCTTGTCCTTGAACAGTATGCTGCCACCACCAAGTGAGTTAGACAAAGATTCAGGAAAAGGCCCACTTGGAGTTCCTGTTTCCACAAAATATCACCCCAAGCCCTTCACCCCCCTTTCCTGGGGAAGGCTTGAGAATAATCCCCTCACCAATTGGTACAGGTGAACACAGATCCAAACCCTTGGATCTTAAGAACAATGAAAAATCAATCAGGTTCTTAAAAGAAGAATTTATTTAAAAAAAGATAAAAGAATCACCTCTGTAAAATCAGGATGGAAGATAACTTTACAAACTTTAAAGTTACAAAAACAGGGATAAACCTTCCTCTTGGCACAGGGAAAATTCACAAGCTAAAACAAAAGATAATCTAATGCATTTCCTTGCTATTACTTACTATTTCTGTAATATTAGATGTATCATTTTGGTGGGAACTGGATTACTTGCTTGGTCTCTCCCTTTGTCTTTGGGAAGAACACAAAAACAAAGCCTCCCCTCCCCCCGAGAAAGAAAGTATCTTCTTTCCCCATTGGTCCTTCTGGTCAGGTGCCAACCAGGTTATCTGAGCTTCTTAACCCTTTACAGGTAAGGAGGGATTAAGAGGAGACTAAGGGGGGATATGATAGAGGT